TTTCAGGGAACCACCAACATGCTGTCCACAGAGGTGTCTCACTTGCCTGAACTTAACACCTGGTGAGTTTTCACAGTGGACTTAGTATTTTAATTTTATATGAGTACATTATATGAGAAGTGGATTTGTACTTGGATGTTTTTGCGTTATATAATCTCCGTCTATTTTTAATCTGTCTACTAGTGTTGTCCAAAAACAACAACAATGGTATATATCAATTCATATGAATATTTCAAACTTTCATTACTCATTTCTCCCAGTATCGATACAAGCTGCACACTTTCGCTATCTTCTCTGACAGTGAGTTGACACCACATGCAGTGTGTGTAAAGTAGTATACTGTCCATTGCGTTGCATATTTCATAGTGACAGCACGCAGAACGCAGCACTCTGTTCATTTACACGCTTGCAGCTCATGATCCAGTGTTTTCAGCATCTCAGAGTGGCTCTGTTCACAGTTAAGCCCAAAGTATACTTCAGTCCACGTTATACAACGGTCCACGCACCGTCTGGGTGATGTAATCTGTTTTTTTTTCTCTCGGGTGGGTTTAGCATGCAGGTCAGTTTTTATGTCTTCATGGACAGTCCACGATTTGTGATTAGTCAAAACCCGTTGTCATAGAAACTAAAGTTTCCCTGTACTTTTCCAGGATAAAACACAGCCCGTCTCTTAAAAGTGAAGACATGAGTATTGTATTTTTACTACTGTAAAGCAAAATATACTTTTTATTTACTGGAATTTTTATAACAATAGTAATTTATTTAATAATTAGTATAATACTAATAATAAGAGTCTCAGTTGCTAAGAAAGTATTTTGACTGATCAAAAGTAAATTCAATGTTAAAAATTAGTTACATTTTAATGCCATTCATTTTGTGACAATGTTTCCCCATGGTATCAAATGTGGATATTTTTCAAGGTATTTTAGCAAAGTTAGAGATTCCAGGATTATGGCAACATTAATGGCGTCTGTCAATTATTAAATGGCAGGAAAAAAGAGAACATTGCCTACTTTCATTTTGTTTCATTATTTTAATAATGACCGTTTGGTTAAATAACTGAGAAAACTTGAAGCATTATTTACTTAATACTGTAAAATGGTATGGCTGCGTTTTGTTGATTTATTTATTTATTGTGTGTAGTAGCATATTACTTTGTTGAATATTGCTGTGAAATTGTAGTTCGTATCAAGTGTCATCTACTGGAATATAGATATCAATCCTATTGGTTATATTTTGGATTATATTTTGTCATGTTCATTCAAAATATAATTCTGGCTTAATTATTTGGGGAAAACTTTACACACAACTGTCAAGACTAAAATGAATAGCAAACTCATTTATTTTTGTTATGAATGTATTCCAGCTGTGAAAAAGGACCTGTTTGTAACATGCTTTCTCTCCGTGTCTCTCCAGCAGTCTGTCTCCACCAGATCTTCTGGATGGGAGTCTCAGTAGCATCGGCTCCTCGGACTCTCCCGCCAAGATGGAAGGAGTGTCGCCCTCCTCCAGTAACTCTTCCCTCACGCCCCTTCAGGACCTCTCCCCTAAGTGATCCGCTGAGCATCACGGACATCACAGGAGGACTGGGCCGCTTCTCAGGCCCTTTTCCACTCATTTTACTTTTATTCCCAATGCCTTCCAAACATGGCTTTTGTTTTTTTCCTGAATTGTCCTGTTATGTTACGTTTGAAGCGAGGCGAGAGAGTATTCCGTGTGGGACAGACCCTAAGGGCATGGAGAGATTGTGGATGTTTTTTGCATCAGCTGCTATAAATAGATGTAAAACATGGTGTATGGATCTGTATCAAAGCGAACAACGTCACAGAAAGAGGATCTTTGATTTTGTTTCTTGTTTTAGTTCCCTTATGGGGCAATTATCTTTTTGATACCGCTTCGAAAATAAAATGCTTCGAAAATAAAACCGTTGCTGTAAACAGGAGAACAACTACAGGTTTCCAACCAGTTTTGTGCGTGAGAATTTAACTTATTTTTTGCTTTTATTTGTATGCATGTATGTACATAAGATATGTTGCAAAACGTGCAGAGGTAAAGAGCTCGACTGGCAAACTGACAGCCGCCTCTTCTGGAGTTTTATTAGCGGTGCAACTGCACTTTAAAGGGGCTGGATTTAATTTTGGGCTTTGTTCTGATTCTGCATATTTAGTTTTTCAGGAATGGCCTTTTCTTGATTTTTCACGTAGGTGGAGGAAGGTATTTTTTCAGATCTTGGCACTTCATTCTCTGTTAGAATGATATTCATGGTTGCTATACACAACTACTGCAGATGGGATTTATTATTGCAGCTGTTGGTAACCACTAAATCCTCGATTTGAACACTACAGAGAAACTAAACTGCCTGTGTTTGATGTTTGTCAAGCTAAAGACGTGTGTTCAGCCGTGTTGTCATTTTTACAGCTTTCAGAGAATGGAGCAGAACATCCGGGCTGAGATGAATGATGTCCATTGTATGTTTTTGCTTCTCGCGCAGTGACTTCGCCCCGTTTCTGTTATTCGGGAAGGATTTGGAGGAGAATGCGCTCTACAGAGTTTTCAGTGTTGTTTTTCAGAGGCTGTTAACAGCGACACAATTGGCAGTTTAAAATGTGAGAAGCAGAAAAGTGCAAAGAAATGAAATCCTCCAATCAAAAATGTTTTTTGTGGAGTTTAATTTTTTAAATGTAATCTACTGAAACGGCGTGCCATTAAATTTGTATATAAGAGAAATGTACAACTGTAATTGTAGGAGTTCTTCATTTGGGGCTGTAGTTACTTTAGTGAAAGTGTTTTCTTTTGTAAATGGTTTTCTAAATTTCATTCAAAGAAATTGCTTTATTTCCTTAAGCATGATATGATGTATCATAAATTCATTTTTCTGTGGAAGAAAGTGCTTGTAAAATCTTTTTTTTTCCTCCCCCATTTAATTAAGTTGAACACTGCAGTGTAAATCTTTTTCTGAATGTCTTTGCAAACAAAAATACAGTAAGTGGGTCATGTAGATCCAGATTCTGTTTTGGCAGTTTAAAATGTGAGAAGCAGAAAAGTGCAAAGAAATGAAATCCTCCAATCAAAAATGTTTTTTGTGGAGTTTAATTTTTTTAATGTAATCTACTGAAACGGCGTGCCATTAAATTTGTGTATATAAGAGAAATGTACAACTGTAATTGTAGGAGTTCTTCATTTGGGGCTGTAGTTACTTTAGTGAGTGTTTTCTTTTGTAAATGGTTTTCTAAATTTCATTCAAAGAAATTGCTTTATTTCCTTAAGCATGATATGATGTATCATAAATTCATTTTTCTGTGGAAGAAAGTGCTTGTAAAATCTTTTTTTTTCCTCCCCCATTTAATTAAGTTGAACACTGCAGTGTAAATCTTTTTCTGAATGTCTTCGCAAACAAAAATACAGTAAGTGGGTCATGTAGATCCAGATTCTGTCCTGTAGTGATGGGTGAAGTGTATTTGTAGTTTGTCCTGTGGACGTGTCGAATTCTTTATTTAATGATTTTTACTGTCCTTTCTGAAGAGGACTGAGTGCTGTCATGAGGACGTGTAGTTGTGCTCTGCGCTCTCTGAACAAATTTTGTTCCCATCATATCAGACTTCCAGATGTCAGAAATAAATTATTTGTCCAGCCATGTTGTTGCCTCGTCTTGTGATACCAAACTTATTTGCTGGTCAGTGTGGTTATTGTCTTCAAAAACATAATGGTTTTAACAGGTGTTAAAATGTACTCTATGGTATTTCTTGTATCAGTGCACTTCATTTACTTCCTTAATGAAATGACCCTTTTAACAGATTGATTAATTTCCACAAATTAACTTTGTGAATGTATAAGTTAACTATTTTTGAAAGTGTCTTATGCTCACCGAGACTCTATTTATTTGATTAAAAAAAAAGCAAAAATAGTAATCAAATATTAATTCAATTGAATTAACAACTGTTTACTATTTGAATTTATTCCCGTGATGGCAAAGCTGAACTTTCAGCAGTCATTTTTCCAGTCAGTCTCACTTGATCCTTCAGAAATCAATCTAAAATGCTGATTTGCTGTTTAAGAAACATTTCTCATCAGTGTTGAAAACCGTTGTGCTCCTCTTTGATGAGTAGAAATGCAAAAGAACCTAAAACCATGCATTATATTACCTTGGGTAATACAGCATCTAGTTAGGAAGGGGTTTCTAATAGTTTCTGACCGAGAGGGTGGAAAGAGCCATTCATATTCAAGCTTGTTCTTCAATCTGTTATAACTTACAAAAAAAATATATATATATTTTTTAAACAAGCCAAGTGAGACTCTATTTATTTGATTAAAAAAAAAGCAAAAATAGTAATAAAATATTAATTCAATTGAATTGAACACAACTGTTTACTATTTGAATTTATTCCCGTGATGGCAAAGCTGAACTTTCAGCAGTCATTTTTCCAGTCAGTCTCACTTGATCCTTCAGAAATCAATCTAAAATGCTGATTTGCTGTTTAAGAAACATTTCTCATCAGTGTTGAAAACCGTTGTGCTCCTCTTTGATGAGTAGAAATGCAAAAGAACCTAAAACCATGCATTATATTACCTTGGGTAATACAGCATCTAGTTAGGAAGGGGTTTCTAATAGTTTCTGACCGAGAGGGTGGAAAGAGCCATTCATATTCAAGCTTGTTCTTCAATCTGTTATAACTTACAAAAAAAATATATATATATTTTTTAAACAAGCCAAGTAAAAACATTGGCTTACTGCCAGCTTACTGAGTATCTAATTCTGTTTCCTCTATATTTTCCAAATGTTACACTAAACTAGTTGGAGGACAAGACGTCAGTTTTCAGGGATGCTCAAAGTAATCAGCTTATTTCTAAAACATTTATCACACTTCTGTTACATATTGCTCCCTAATCCGTCTGAACTATGATTCAGAAACTAATGTTACTACCAATACTTTTGAACATAAAACTGTTTCTAGGAAATGCTTTTAACAATCAATTTTCTTTATTTGATGTGGCATCTATAGAGATTACTGTGCACAAGATTTAAGCAGTGGACAAACATCGGAACAAAAAAAGCCATTTCAGTCTTGAGAGAAGCAACAAAAATCCAGAGACGCAGAATATGACGTATAACAACACATTTAATTTAATGTATTCATGTTCCTCTACACCCCACCCCCCCCAACATAGTCAGCCAGATTCAATGCCAAGCTCAGTCAGTGTTCAGCCTGTAAACAGAACGCTCCCCTCCCCTCGCCCATGGATCTTTGTGTCTTCATTGTGTCTGTGAGTTTGTGATGATCATTTAAGAAGTTAGTTCCTGTTTATAGGGAGTTTCTCAGACGTGCTTCCCCTGCATCCTCACAACCCTCCTGGCTGTGTTAATGTCCATATCTCCCCTCTTCATTATCTTGGTTCCTATCAGCAAGATTGTTTCCAAGAGCACTTCAAGTGCGCAGAATTACCATTGTAAGAAGACCTGTGCGACATGGGAAAGAACCATGATAAAGTGCAGAAGACTATGAATATTTGGAATATGATGCTTTTTTTTTTGACTCACCTAAAACATAAGCAGCTACAAGTTTCTTGTTAACACTTAAGTGGAGGTAGACAGGCACTGTGGATTCCTGCTCTCCCAGAGTTGGGAGCATAAGGGCCGCCATACACACCAGGCCTAAAAGGACAGTGAGGAGGCTGGGACCCCCAGACGCTGTACGGCTCTCTGTGCAAACAGAAAAGGAAGAAGCAGATGGTTTTAAAATGAAAGCAAACCACCAAACAATAAAAATAATACAGCTCTCTGACTCCCCATAATACAGCCCCCCCCCCAATATGAAAATTGTAAAAACGTTTTAATAAAAAAAAACAAGTATTACTTCTAGTAAATATAAAAAAGACATTGCTAAATTTCAATTTGTGAAGAAAAAGTAAAAAAAAGAATAATTGTAAAACAAAACAACTTTACATTAAATAAAAAAAATATAAAAATGATTTCCAGTCAATATAAAATTTTGTGAAAAAAAATTTAAAATAGTAAAAACTTACCATTTAATAAAAAATAATACTATTACTTCTAGCAAATATTCAAAAATTTGCTAAATTTCCATTTGTGAAGAAATAATAAAAAAAATAAAATAAATAAATTGAAATGTACTTTTTGAAGAAAAAATGTGTGTATAAACTGTTTAGAATTTATATATATATATTTATTAAATGTATACATTTTTACTTTTTTTTAAGTAATATGTAACATCAATAAATACATAAAATAAACAATAATATACATAAATATATGTATATATAAAATTTTTCAGAATTATTTATACTGTACTACTTTCATATTGTGACGACTAAAACAAGATATTCAACAACAACAAAAAAGCTAAGACATGGTTTTATCCTTAGTGAATTGCCTGGATTATAAAAAGTTGTTTTTATGACTGGTGGATTGGACATTTAAAAAAAATGCAGAGGGTTGAAAAGATGGAGAAAGCCATTACTCTTTGAAGAAAGATTACCAGCTTTTTTCTTTAGAAATACAAGTGCCTATGAATCAATCACAGTATGAACCAAGAATGTGTATTAAGAACATAAATGCACGTTGACTGTAAAATGCACCTGTCTGGAATGCAGTCTGTTCAAAGAACACTCTGTCGGCAAGCTGCTCCTTCATCCTGTGCTCCTCTTCCTGGGGCCGGACCTGGGGCTGCTCCTGAGCGGCGGAGGGCAGCAGAGTGGCTATCACTTCCTTCCTGCCCAAAGCCTTCCTCTGACTCTGCTCAGACACCTGCAGCCGGAACTTATCAATCACCCCGTAATGACAGGCCCGCACGTCCCTATGGCGGATCACGCTGTTTGGCGAAAATCACAAGAGATGGAAGGTTGTGAAAGGCTGAAACAAATCAAATCTGCTTAAAATATTTCAAGTGCAAGACCTGGAAACTTACATATCCACACAACATTGTGGTTTAACAGCACCTGTGGCATCCACCACGGCATACTTGTTTGGTGCTGTGCACAAAACTGACGAAACAACAAACAGTAAGAAAGGAAGGACCACTACAGCACTCTACTGTAAGAAGGCTTCTCGTGGGTAGTAAGGAAAATGTATGACTCACCTTTGAATTTAAGAGCAAACTCATAAGGGTTGTAGAGGGTGAGCACCTGCTTATGTGAAGCCTGCTCATCTGCGTAGAACACCAGCTCGGTGGGGAACACAAACACTGGAAGGCTTCCCTCCACTAGGTCAGGCTGCCGGCTCTGCTGCTGCATTGGCTCCAGCTGAGCTCACGTCCTCCTGCCCTTATTGTATTCCCACTCCGTCTCTAGGCTGAAACGGTGCAGAGATCCAGTTCTAAATGCAGCCAGTCCCGCTCTTTGGCAGCATGACGTTCACCTCTGAAATGACAGAAACGGGGCCATTTCATCATGACAAGCAACAGGAGGCAGGAGTACAAAAACTATGTTTAAACAGAAATAACAAAGCTACTCATAATAATAAAAAGAAAACAGAATATCAAAAATACACAAAAACCCACATTTAGTGTGAACTGAATGGCTAAAGTCACTATGTGTAACTGTAACACTACAGTTCCAAAGTTTGGGGTCAGTAAGATTTTAATACTTTTATTGGGCAAGGATGCCCTACTGTGACTTTTGAATAATTTAAAGACTTTTATGTCACAAATGATTTCTATTTCAAATAAATGGCGTTCTTTTGAACTTTTCATTCATCAAAAAATCCACAATGTGTCCATAAAAATATCAAGCATATTTTAAGTTTTCAACATTCATAATAATAATAAATGTTTCTTGAGCAGCAAATCAGCATATTAGAAGACTGGAGTAATGAAGCTGAAAACTCAGTTCTGCATCACAGGAATAAATTACATTTGAAAATATATTTAAATAGAAAACAGTTCTTTTAAACTAATAATATTTCACAGTATTGCTGCTTTTATTGTATTTTTGATCAAATAAATACAGCCTTGGTGAGCATAAGAGACTTCTTTCAAAAACATAAAAAAATTCCTGACCCAGAACTTGTGAAGGGAAGGCCACACAACCAGTGGCGGCTGGTGGAAAATATATATGGTAGGGCGCCACATCAAACAAATTTAGCATACATCCCGGTATGATTTCTTCCAGTATAACAAAGGGAAAAGTATTAAGACTTGAAACATTTTAAATAAAGATAATGGTTTTACCAAATTCAAGATTGAGGATGATTCTCCATTTCCCACAAAACTATATTCTCTGCAAGCTTTTTTCAAGGTGAATTAAAACCGTTTATAATTTTCATAATTCACTATTTATGTATGCAGTGCAACAGCAAAAACTGAGGAAAAAAATAAATGTTACATTTGTTTAGAGCATTTTCTATACATAAATAACTAACCACAAGTCAAGCTGCAATACTAAACAGGACCACACGAAGATGCCAACAGTCGCATTAAAGGGTTAGTTCACCCAAAAATGAAAATTAGGCTGCGTTTTACTCACCCCCGAGGCATCCTAGCTGTATATTACTTTCTTCTTTCAGACAAATCCAGTCGGAGCTATATTAAAAATTGTGGCTGGCTATTCCAAGCTCTATCATTGCAGTCAGCGGGTGTTGCATTGCTTCAGTCCAAAAGAAGTTAAATAAAAAGTGCCCATGCATAAAAAAAAAAGTGTCTCACACGGCTCCGGGGGGTGAACAAAGGCCTCCTGTAGCAAATCGATGCATTTTTGTAAGAAAAATATCCATATTCAAAATGTAATAATCACTTGAATCTAGCTTGCGCTCACTGACGTCATGCTCCCGGAGCTGCTTCTGTGTACAACTGCTGGCGTAAGCTAGATTAAAGTGATTATTATGTTTTGTATATGGATATTTTTTAAATATCCCCCCGGAGCCGTGTGAGACACTTTTTTTTTATGCATGGGCACTTTTTATTTAACTTCTTTTGGACTGAAGCAATGCAACACCCGCTGACTGCAATGATAGAGCTTGAAAGATCAAAGACAATTTTTAATGTAACTCCGACTGGATTCGTCTGAAAGAAGAAAGTCGTATACACCTAGGATGCCTCGGGGGTGAGTAAAACGCAGCCTAATTTTCATTTTTGGGTGAACTAACCCTTTAACCAGACTGTATATAAATATATACAGATCCATTCAGAATTATTAAACAGAGCAAAACACAAATTAAAAAGGCAAATAAAAACATTCTGAATTTGTCGAATGTGGCGATCTGAAGGCAGCTCAACATGACCAGTGAACAGTTTCTCTGTCAGAGTGAGTGTTGGTGTCTGTGTTTGAGTGTCTACATAAACCCCACTGACCATTGCAAACTCCTATAAAAACAGGCTTCTTCAGCGAGTGTCCATTATAAAACACCTGCCAGACATGCAACCATACATAAATGTGCTCACGCAAAAAGCTATCAGAGAGCGCACATACACGGTTTGTTTGTTTGCACATAAATAATAACTAGAGAACAGTCTGGGCGATTCTCGGCCATAGTGAAATCACCCAAAAAGGGGCGGTACTCCACAGAACGTGACTTGATGCTGGACTATAGATCCAGAGGCAGAAGAAACAATCAAGAACAGTGACAGCTGTGGTTGAATGTGATAAAAAAAAAATCCCTCCCTTTTGCACTTTGGTGGTGCGTCGCCCTATTGCCCTAATAAAGAAACCGCCCCTGCACAGGATTAATTATCCTATTCAATGTATCATGTTAATAAAAAAATATGTAATATGTCAATATTTGATCTGAAAGACATTTTTTGTACAATAAACAACTTTAGTACAGTGCTGGGCAAATTGACATAAAATCTGAGTCCTAAAACAAAACCAGCTTAGGACTAATGCAACAGGAGGTTTAAATAAATTACATCTGACAGCATGAATATGTCTAAGCAACAACAGTTTCTCTCAGATTTATTTCTGGCATGAAAATAATAAAAGTATGCTTCAGAAAAGTGAAGTAAACACATGCATGAATTGAAATGCAGAATATATAATAATTTATTCAGTGTGTCTTGTTGATAATTATTGTATCATACGGTTTATATCATATTGTCATGCCTATGTAGTTCATAGTAATATTAGTAAATCTCTTTTTGATTTGAAGTACATTTTGCACAATAAACAACCTGTACAGTGCTGGGCAACATGACAAAATCTGTCATAAAACAAAAGCAGCCGAGAACTACTGCAACACGTTGTTGAAATAAATTACAAATTACATGAATAATTATACAATGAATACATAACAACAGTTTCTCCCAGACCTATCTTTGGCATGAGAATAATCAAGGGATGCTTCAGAAAAGTAAATTAAACACAAGCATGAACTGAAAAGCTGTTGTTTACATAAAAAAAACTATTCAGCTGTTGCTACAGATGAGCAGGTAAATAAAACGAAAGCCAAAGCAACCCGCAAGGCACGTGTCAATATAATCTGATCATGGTGTCGATGTAATAATGACTAATAGATGATGGCCAAGATCTCTGTACCAAAACAAGCTCCTGCCTACACGTGGCCAGTCATGTGACCATGTTTACTGAACTCGTCTGAAACTCGAGGATTTCGCAACACGATCTAACGCAAATAAACAGCGTCTAACAGCATACTGGTGAGGTCAGTGACACAGCATGACAGCTGGCAGACACAAGGATGTCTGCTCTAAAATAGCAGTCTAGAGATGGGTTTAACGGAGTTTTAGATAAACACACCCAACAGGCATTTAAGAAAAATACTCAGCTAAATACGAAACCCACTGCAAGTGTCCTCTTGAAGTCTATTGTGTTTTGCTGACACTGACAGGTAGCAGAGAAATCGCTGTGTGTAACATGACATTCATGTTTTATTAAACCTATACATAAATCGTGTGATGTCAAATATTCCTTAACTATAATACATCTGCTTGTCTCATGTTAAACCAAATTCAAGAAAGATGTCGGTAACGTTACCTGCTTGAAAAATGATTAACAAACGCTGGCATGTCAGTTTTCCACAGTAACTAGTCACTTAATAAGACGTTTCGTTACTGGTTGAAGTATTCAGTCGACACAATGTTCTGTATTGTTCACTGGATGTAGACGTATTGATGCTATGGTTACCCTTTCATGCTTTTAGCATAACAATACGGTAAAATCGAGACAACAAAGCGTTTGAAATCGCGTTATTCAATGTCGTTATTTAAAGAATAAGGTAGATCGAAAACAATTGAAAAACGTTTGTTTACCTCGCTCCCGTTTAACGATATTTATTCCAATTCCCACCCCGTTTCCTTTTTCTTTGTCAGCGCGGTGAATGCTGGGATACTGGAGGGCTTCAGGAGTTCCGCCAGTCTTCTATGACGTCACTGGGTTTCGCAAATGCACTTTCTGTTATTTATAGTATTTCTCTGGGAATGTTTTCAGAAGATAAATGATGTCCGTATTTCGTTTTAGATCTCCACATCTTAGCTACAGTTTGGGGGACCGTTTACCCGTCATGAAAAGTCTTAAAGTGACAGTTCACCCTAAAATAAAAAAATTCTAGCGTCGCTCGCCTTTGTTGTTGCCTAAACCTGTGTGGCTTTATTTCTTCACTGGTAAGAGTAAAAGAGACGCTGGGCTGAATGTTACGCGGGCTGGACGACTCAGTCACCATTCACTGTCATTGCATCTTTTTGCAGTTTAAACTGAATGGTGACTGTCATGTCTTTTGTGTAACAGAATTTGTATTTTTAGGTGGACTGTCCCTTTAAGGTTTGACAGCAAAGCTCAAAGCAGGCATCTCGTTAACACACAAATATTTTTCTTAAAGATGCTAGCAAATGGAAAGCACCACTAAAAAGAATTCCTTTGTGTGTGTGATTCAGTTTCAGTAAACCGAACTTGACATTAGATTTGACAACGACATACAGCACGTTGCCTGTTTAGTTTAGTAAAGTAAACAACTCGCCCTAAAGAAACCTGCACGCCTTTAGAAATAATGCTCATTCAGACGTCAACTATCCACCACCGCCTTTTTAGGGCACAACCCATAATCAAAACATTTGTGACCGCTCGCACACATTTGCACAATGAGCAAATTTAAAGACAATTTTGCATTACAAAAAAAAAAAAAACGATTACAGAGAAATGAAAACAGGAAAAACAACATGACCTTTTTTTTGTTTTTTTAAACCTCTCGGGACACGCATACAGTTCATGAATGAACAACACGGGCAGTTTCACTTTTAAAATGTATGCTTTGTTGTGAACCAGGTAACGGCGATCACAGAAACCGTGCGGGTCAGAAGACAGTGGAATATGCGCTACAGTATGGGGATCTTATGTTTCGGATAGGACTCCAGTGACATTGGAGCAGGCCATTGAGATGTAGTAGTTATGTAAAAATGCGGCTGAATGATTATAATAAAGGGTACTGTATCATCGGCACTTGTTCATTGGCTATTTCCTGCGGATATTAAAACACCTTGTAGGTATTAGCTATATGAGCTAGCTTTCGTCCAGTGTGTGGGATTGTGGTGAATAGGACTGCCTAGCAGGTACGTCCCTTTCTGACATTCAAAAAAACCAAAGGGCGTGTGCAGAGCGAGGTTTCACGGAAAGCGAGGAGCCAGCTCCTTTCCTCTCGCGCCTGAGCCGCTGTTGTCTCGGTCTCTCGTTATATTAACATGGCGCTTGCCTATACTCTAGTCTCTCGAAGGAGATTAACAAGAGGAGGGGAAAGCGGACGAGGATGGATTTCTCCACGATCAGAGGGAGGCACAGTTATTATAAAAATCAACCAAGCTACTCCCCACCCCCCACTAAGACAGCTAGACCAGGATCAGACAGAGGAGGGGGTCGCCCTTTACACAAGACGAAAACGGAACTCTAATAAATTACAAATGAACTCTGATAACTTGTTAAATCGGTGTAACACACAATATAATAACAAAAGCGGCCGTTAAAACTCAAAAACAAAGCACATGAGACCCTCGCCCTCTCCACCTCCGACCGCTCGCGCGGACAACTGAGGAATTCCGCGACCTCATTGCGTATTTATAGGAGAGTGGGCGTGGCTTCGCGACTCGGCTCAGCCAATGGCGTAGCAGCGGCGGGGCGAAGGCGTTTCGGTCTGTTCGGAAGAGAAGTTCTCTAACAGCGCGAGCCCAGCACTGCTCAGAAAAGACAGATAGAGAATCAGGCGGCTGCAAAGGGTGGCAGTACGACCCTCTTTTGGGGGGGGTCTGATTATAACAAAATATATACACACATATATGCATGCCCAGGGCCGCAAGATAGGTCATATGCCGATTGTAGATATTCCAGCAAACATCTAGAGGTATATCTATACATTTCAAAATGCCTATTTTACTTTTTCTGATAGACACGTCCGCTTCTATGAATCAGCGCACTTATTTGGGTACGACGTATCTGGACATTGCTAAAGGCGCGGTTGAGATCTTTATGAAGGTAAAGCATAATTTTACCCCGACTTTTTCAGCTTACTGTTGTACCTTGTTGGAGTTAAGGATCCCTATGACAGGATCAGTTTCAATTAATGTTTATTGTTTCGTTTTCTTTAACAGCTGCGTGCCCGAGACCCGGCTAGTAGAGGCGACAGGTACATGCTAGTTACATTCGATGATCCACCATACGGCGTAAAGGTAAATAAATACTACTAAATTGTGCTTATATGTGGTTAAAGCGGAGATTTTTTTGCTGACAGTGAGACTCTACTGTCCCTCTGGTTCGTAGCATCGGGTCGGGTGGCCTCCCGGTGACGAAAACGGCTAATTTTTGTTAAAATATCCGCAGACCCGGAGCAGCGCAGCCTCTGAACATGGCGGACATTTTGCTTTTGTGTTGGGAAAGCTCTCGAGCGCTGAGATGGAGGCGGAGAGATTTATTATCCACTGTGACGTAGCGCGCGACGCGTGCACGGGCCATCTCGGTCCGGATTGGACAAGCGGCCTGCCCTCTGTCGCGTGCCCTCCTCTCGCATTCTCATTGGCCACTGTAGCCTGAACAGATCAACACGATTTGATTTGTGCAACAGCCCTCAATAAGCAAATGAGGAGATGCTTTGCAGGTTTGCGTTGAGAGAGGAAGAGGCTTGTGAGTTGCCCTTGAAAACAAGCATCAGCTTCCTTCCCTCTCCACTCCTAGTACATTCACCTCCCTCCCATTCATATACCCAAACACCAAACAGGTGAAAGGTGATTAAGTATGCAGTGCACCTGTGCCTGTCACATTAGGCCACTCAGTGGTTAAAGTTTACTCAACATAAGATATACCTATGCAAGCATAATTACTAATTGCTCACTTTTACAGCCAGAGTTTATATGAACCAGAGTGACTTATAGCCACACATTTGAGACCATTTTGCTCAACAGATAGCAAGCATGTAATCTGGAACGCTGATGGCTAGGAAATATAAGTGCTTCCTGTACAAATACAAACAAGTGCGAGTACAATAAATCTGGTACAAATTAGGAGGCATTTAGCTGTTTTCATATGTGACAGCCGTTCATATTTTTCTGTTTGGGGGTAAAGACAGCAAGGATAATAGTGGGTCTATGAGCTGATGGTGTGGTCAGGCATCTGCATGAATTGTATTCAAACACATCTCTTTACTCAAGAATACTAACTGAACGTAATGGCAGTCAGTACTTGCTTAATAGATTACTTGATCATTCTAAGACACAAGGGCACGACTAGACTTGCATGTATTACATTCAGGGTGTCTTGTACCTATTTTCTTTTTTGAGGAGGCAGTGACAGTTCTGGCACTTCTATGTAAGTTATGAGTCATGATAGTCTAGTGGTGTAATTTTGTAGTATGCATAGGGGTCAGGTTCACATCATGATATAATATACAATTCTTCAAGCAATATTGCAACTGCACTCAACTGCCAGTGATCGCCCTGCGTTTTCATGTATAGATAACAGACCTGACCAGAACTTACCTTGTGGTAACGTTGTTTGAAATGTAACCCCCCCCCCCAAAAAAACTAATACAATTATTAAATAATTGTTTATTATATAATAAACTGTTATAATAAAACTATTTTAATTATTAAAACTTTATTTAATCTTTCAGTTTATAATTATAATAAACTGAAAGATGATATATATATATAATCGTCTTATAACGAAATATAACTATATACTTCTGATTTATGAATTGAATCAAGAACATACATTATTAACACTTTTATAGCTGATTCAACTAATTCAACCAATCGGCATTTTCACAAAAAAATTGACAGTTAAATGGATATATTATACATATCTCATTAAATGTTAAGAATTTTTGTAAAAAAAAAAAAAAAAAAAAAAAAAATATATATATATATATATATATATATTAGTAAGATTCTGCCCAACTCCTTCATTTTGCACAAATCGCATAAACAAAATTACATATTTTGGCTTCAAAACGGCAAAATTCACCAAAAGGTGGCGACTTCGGAGCACTATTAATTTTGCACCTATGATAATCGTGGAATGTAATTATCAGATGTAGAAATATTTATTTTTGTCTTTTGGAAGTTGAGTTTATAATCAATTTGGCTCAAAAATTTGAGGATGCACAAGCTAAAAAGTTTGAATGGGCATGACGGCGCTGATTACATTCGACAGAGCTGTGATTTTGTGATTTTTTTGTTAATATTGTTTACCAGCCTGCTTAAAATCCACACATCAGCCAAAATATTGTTACAGTTACATGTAACAATAATCCAATTAGCAAATAAACAGAATTCTTAATCAGTTTTCAGACCTTTCTCTCCCCACATTCATCATCATCATCTGTTTATAAACTGCTGTGCCAGTTCTCTTGACGTGCCGTTATATTGGATATGGGAATTGTGGCTATGTGGTCACTTTGCACAGCCTAATTTCAAAGTATCATCCATCTTTTTCCCAGCCTGGAGTTGAATCAAGGGCTGCACTTACTGACATGTGCATGTGACATATAGTGCTGCCTGGGTTCCTGTCTTCTTTGTTTGTGGTTTGACATTGACAATAAGAGTAGCTCTGTGCTTTAGCACTTCATTAGTATGGACTATCTGGCAGGTAGCCAGTTACTCTCTTGGAGGGGTTTCTTACTTTCTTTCTTGTCATGCAGTTTTCCCACCCTGTTCCAGTTTATCCAAGATAATCTGAGGCTGACTTCCAAGTGACACTTAACTCTATAACCAAAGTACTACATTTCCTGCTTATAGCGGGTACTATACACTAATGATGTTTTAGCCATTTACTTGATGAGATTGTGAATGTGCATGTGGCAAATACTTGGCATTGTTTTCTTACTATGTCTTAGTTTGAGAAAGATGTTATAACTGCCCTCTTACATAAGCTTTTAGCCCTCTCTGAGCTATTCGTGGCCAGCTTGTTCCTCCTGTTCAAAAAAATACTATAATAGCCAAGCAGTGCCTCTTCAGAATTAGCGAGCAGGCTAACCCAGTTCTTGACTAGAAAACACTGGGCAAATACCAGCCTAGCAAGAATCTGGCCCCTGTATCTGACAGAGTGCCTTTTTTATTTCCCGTCAATTATTCATGAGATTTTCAGCAGCTAAACAGTGAAGAGTTCCAGTGAGCGTCCAGTCCTCACAAAGCTCTCTTTTTCCTGTTTGTGTGCCTCTCTTGTTGTCTGAGCCCTGGCCAAGCAGAACATTATTCTTAGTCTTGCCTATTTTCTGAAGTTGACACAGTTTTTTCCATTTGCAATTTTCTTAATCGATTACTGCTGAAATTGTTTATCATTGAAGCAAAAGGTTAGAGATGGAAATGAATTTGTTTTGGTGTAAAGTCTGTTGTTGGTTAATGAAGGAGAAAAGAAAAATGCATGCAAGTGCATTTGTGGTTTATGCCATGAGGCCCTGGAAAACATGTTATTTTTGTTTGGGACAAACAATGCAAACACCTCCATATTACATTATTCATTGTACATTCATTCATGTGTATTCATTACATTACCCCATCTAACATTTGGAAACTTTGTGAATGTCATTGTGTTATATAACAAAATATCAACTCAAGCTGCATTTATTTTATTTGAAAGAAATATAGCACAAGCTTAGATTCCAAGCTTCCGTTCATCTTTGGAACACAAATGAAGATATTTAAAAAAAAAAAAAATTCTCATCAGTTTTGTCCATCGATTTGAAAGTGCACACAACCAAAACATTCAACACCCACTAGTGTGTCTCGAGCGTCAAGCAAGCATACGTTTCCATATTTGACGGGCTCTATGTATGTCTGTCAATCAGTGTGATTAAAAGCCTAAATGAAATCGCTCAATGCATATGGACTACATTTACGATGCCTTTTTTGTACTTTTTGATGCATTAAAGTTCTGGTTCTGCGGACTTTCAATGGATGAGCAAAATGATGAGAGAATATTACAAATATTTAACATTTTGAAGATGAACAAAAGTCTTATGGGTTTGGAACGACATCGGGGTGAGTAAATGATGACAGAATTTTTTATTTTCAGTTGAACTATCCCTTTAAGACAGAGTATTTAGACACTTGGTGGTTGTCAGATGTTTGTGGATCAAGTTCATAGTTAATGTGATGATCTACACCTGTGGTTCTTCTGAAAGGACACCTGTGTGAATTTGAGGGAGAACTGACTTCATACGTCCACTAAAATTACACTGCAACCAGTTGGTTAAAAGTAAATGCAAAAATGAGTAAGAAAAATCAAGTCAGTTTGGAGAAGCACCGTTTGTTTGTAGAACTCACTTGATATTCTATTAGGAAATGCAGTGAAATTCATATAGTTTAAGTGTTACTAAGGTGTCCAAATAGCTTCTAGAAACACTGTACATTTACATGCATAAATTATTTTGGTGGAGCCTAGGAATATTTAGTCTGTGGATCCGGTGGCCTTATAATTCTGCCATGTTTATCCTGTAGACTGCCTCATGTTTTATCTTGCTCTGAAATAGGAGTGGTTGAGGTCCTTTCTTCATGACAGATAGGCAGGCCAAATAATTCTTCAGAAATCCAGTGTGTGCCCTCTCCTCCTTAAACCTCATTCGCAACATATAACTGAACGTATACTGTCTGCATTTCTTTGCACTGGCTCAATACAAGTAGCTGATAAATGATGGAGATCACCAAGAAAACTGAGTTCAATCACTTCGGACTCAGATTGGAGATCTATTTGTCATGAGCATGATGGTCCCTCTGATCAGTGCTTTGGCTGGTTAACCAGCTCTCATTCCATTAGATTGACAACTTTAGTTCCTGCCTTGCCTTTATCATCACACATGACAAGCATCACCCTGCAGACCGCAGACGTGTCCCTCCTGCAAAACTGGGTGGATGTGTGTAACCGAGCTCAATGGTTATCTGTGATCAGTTCAACCTTTAGGCAGTAGTAGAGATTAAAACCTGGGACAAGGCAACCTGATCCTGGAATAATACTCAGGCCATAAGGGCAGTCGCTTAACCCGTGTGAATCCACCCCGGGTTGTCACGTGCTCTTTCTGCAGTGATGATTCCTCCTGCAATCACAAGAGCTGTGTTTATATGATTGCCGCTTTCCTCAGAACAGGAGCTTAACAGGGAACAAGTCCTTATCTGTCAGTTTATGCAAAACTGCTAATTTGTCTTGCCACCTGTCCTGCATTTGGCGAGGAAATACAGAGCCAGGTTTTATAGTACGCTAATTCTGAAAGCAGAAAAAAAGAAAACGTGTTATTTGCTCTCTGTAACTAAATAACAGCTTTATGTTGATCTAATTTCATGGCTTTCTTCATTCTGCTCTGGGGGGAATAAATGGGACGAATCTCATGGAACCTGTCAAGATGATACCCGGTTCATATTTCACACATTATTTTCATGACAATTAAGCACATTTCCTCCTTAAATGTTATTACTGTAATGCATAAAAAAATAAAAATGTAGTATCTACATTGTAAAGTATTTATGCATCATGGCAGTATTTGCTGAACTGCCTTTATTTATGCATATGTAGATACAGTATTACAGTAAGGAAAATCTAATGAGAATCGACCACAGAGAACAAATGAAAATCTTAGAAGGAAAACCTCTGATACATTGCAATAATGAGAAAACTTGGTTGTGCTTAATTGTGCTTAAAATGTGCTTGAATGTGCTTAATTGACATATAAATAATATCACAATATAAAAAGACTAGGCATAATTTTCTTTACAATATAATGTAATTTATTATATTTTTCCCTTTTGGTTTTGAGGTGAAATATGATCTTGATATGTAATAATATATTATTTAAATTGTAAAGTATTTATACATCATTATAATATTTGCTGTACTGCCTTCAATTTGTGCTATTCAAATAAAAAATACTGTATTACAGTAATGAAAATTAGAATCACAATAAAAATAAGTAAACATCCAATTATAAAAATCTCAGAAGTGAAATATCTAGTACATTACAGCAATCAGAAAATCGAAAAATAATATCATAAAGTAAAAAGACTATGCTTAATTTTCTTTATGTAAAATATAATTCCTTTTTTTTCTTTTAACTTTGGAGTGAAATATGGTCTGGATATGCTTTCGTGACATTAACCCGTTTGTGGATTACAATGTTTGTTCTTTCCTCTGTTGGAACGCCGCTGGGTTTTCATCTTTTAAAGAAAGGTTTGAGTTTACATTTCCTCTGTTACAGCTACAGTTAGGGTATTATCCTTTTTCCTGGCTTATTCAGTGTTCACATTCCTTATTCTCTCCCATCTTCTTCTGCCTCGCTGGACAAGCGTGTGATTAAAGGAGAGTCTGATTGCAGTCACACTTCTTCAGAGCCAATAAATTGTTAATGCAGAGGGAAAGAAAGACGGATGGGGAAAAAATAGAATTACTCTGTTGCTTGAATTATTGAGTGCCGGTTAGAAGAGCTTCTGCTTGAATGGTTTCTTTTTTTGGATAGAGACGTACACTGTCTGGCCCCTACTGACAAATCTTTGCTTGCTTTTTTTCTGTAATGCTTCCCAATGCACATAAATCTACACACACACATGTGAAGCTCAAACACATCGGGATCTGACCTATTAAGTCTTCTCTGCCTTGTGGGGATTTACCATGTATGCATGTTTGTGTAATGTGTTGATTTATTCACGCTGAGTAAATGTCATGTGGAGCAGGAATCATTTTGTAAAAGCAGATTTAGTGAACTATTAACCTCGGTTCTTTTCTCAGCATCTGAACTCATTATATAGTTTTTTTTTGTGTGTTTGTTTTGAGCGAGCAGTAAAGTAATGACTGTATTCTTCTGCTGGGATGGGTAATGTGGGTTAGGGACAGACACACACTAACCAACACATAATGTCTTTTAATGATAGTAAAACAAATCAAGCCTTACATAGCAGATCTGTGCCACTTCCTTCCAGGCTGCCTACACGCAAACATACAAATGTGCAAGTAAACATACATGCTAATTCAGATGCTTTGCAAAGCTTGTCCTGTGGTTTTTGGGGCTTTATTATCTGACTTTATTTCCACCCTTCTCTCACCTGACATTTAGGTAGTGTTGTTGTGCTTAACGTGTGCTTAACGTGTGCTTAAGCCTGCTGATCATCTGTGAATTACATAAAATGCTGTAATAGTCAAGTGCTTGATCTCGCTAGGTGAAAGAGTGAGAAAAGCTACAGGTGATTGACATATACTAGGAAGAAAACTTCTGTTTGTTATATAATAGTTTGCATAAGATCATGTTTCTAATAATACGTACAGAAGCCTTAAAGGTGTCTGGACACACTTTTAAATATATTAATATTATTGTATTAGGTAAAAATCAATCTAAGTGGCATTTGTAAATAAATCGTGCTAGAGCTTTTCACATATGTGTGAAATTACTATGTAGATGTTTATTTACATTTGATAACGAGAAAGAATCCAGAAATATTTGGTCTAACTCTAGAACGGTTCTCATATTCTTCTATTCTCATTGTTTAAAACCTCGCAAGCTTCTTTTAGTGAAATGCTTGAATTGGAGAGTGTGCTTGTGTGACTTAAGTGTCTAAATACACAACTGTTCAAAGGTTTGGGGTCGGTAAGATTTGTTTTTTGAAAAAAATACTTTTATTTTGCAAGAATGTATTACATTGATTAAAAGTGGCAATATAAACATTTAGAATGTTACAAAAAAATCTATTTCATATAAATGCTGAAAAAAATCCTGAAAAAAATGTATCCACAGAAATATTAAGCAAGTACAACTGTTTGCAACAGTGATGATAATAAGAAATTTTTAGAATATTAGAATGATTTCTGAAGGATCCTGTGACACTGAAGACTGGAGTAATGGCTGCTGGAAATTCAGCTTTAACATCACATGCTTTTACTGTAAATAAATGCTCTGTGTGCATAAGAGACTTCTTTCATAAACATAAAAAAATCCTACCAGACTTTTGAATGTTAGTGAACATTTTGGGTTCACTGTGTAAATGTCACTGTCTGAATGTTTGGTGTTACCGAGGTTATATGAAGCTGGTTTTTACATCATCTGTGTGTATTTCCTGTATATGATAGGCGGGTTGGAAAGAGAATCATGCCACTTTCATGAGCGAGCTGAAGAACCTGCAGGCATCTGGACTGACTACACTGGGTCACGCTCTCCGCGCCGCCTTCGACCTGCTCAATCTCAACAGACTCGTCTCTGGCATCGACAACTATGGCCAGGTAATAATATCTCCCTTCAGCATTCAGAGTCAAAACAATCTTTATTCAGTATAATTGCAAAATAATAAGAAATATCTCCTCACATAACAAGAGTACCAACCACCATAGACATTGAGATACACACATCTGCCCGATATTCAGATCAATCAATTCAATTTTAACAAATCCTACCTTCCTCCCAGCCTTGAATGTTTTGTTACATACTTAAAGGGGTCATATGATGCGATTTCAATTTTTCCTTTCTTTTTGAAGTGTTACAAGCTCTTGGTGCATAAAGAAGATCTGTAAAGTTGCAAAGACTAAAGTCTTAAATCCAAAGAGATATTCTTTATAAAAGTTAAGCGTCAACTCCGCCTACCTAAAACGGCTCGTTCTAACACGCCCCCACATATCTACGTCACGATGTGGGAAGATTTGCATAACGCAGCCCAAATGTTCACCCAAAGAAAGAAGGCGTAACTTTTATTCTCGCTGTTGCCGCCGCGGCCATGTTGTGGAGACGCTGTGTGATTATGAAAGTGAAACTACTTTGTTTGGCCTTCCAAAAGAGGACAAAACTACAAATCAGTGGTTAAGTTGTATTTACAACACTGTTCCGGAACAGTTCAACCCAAATATTCAGATGTGTGCAGCGCATTTTATGGAGGATGAGGACTGTTTTTCTGGGAGAGTAGACTACAATGCCGGTGTCTGTTTCTATAAAGTGGGGCAATTCCAACTTTGCAAGGACAGTCTGGCGCTTCTGACTCAGCCTGTAAGTACATTTTTATATTTAAAGAATTAGCCACTGACGATTCAAACGCGAGTTTTGAGCAGTGTAGAGTAGCGCTTGTTGTTTGTCGTTTGATTGAAACGTTGTTTCTCCGATCACAAATGCAGACATGGGGCAATTCCAACTTTGCAAGGACAGTCTGGCGCTTCTGACTCAGCCTGTAAGTACATTTTTATATTTAAAGAATTAGCCACTGACGATTCAAACGCGAGTTTTGAGCAGTGTAGAGTAGCGCTTGTTGTTTGTCGTTTGATTGAAACGTTGTTTCTCCGATCACAAATGCAGACATGGTTTTGTTTACGCAGCGCGATACTCAACGCATAAAAAGACAGTATAAGTCATTATAATCAGTAATTATGTCCCCACTGGATGCAACAAATGCCTCGTTTATAATGGGTTTTACTGGTTTTGTCTAGTCGCGCATCACCGGCGCACAGGCGCTCGTCGCACACACGGCATCACAATATACCAAATACAAACAAATATGTTGCCATTATTCAAAAATAACCATTTCACAGCACACCTAAAGTGTGCCAGAAGGCATGAGAGTGACCCAGCAAACATGGGAAAATATTCTGTAGTCCAAATAAAGCTTTAAACCTGATGCTGCCCAGTGCTTCAAGCACCACCATCAGTTCAGCGAGGCTTTGTAGTGCAGATGCTTTCATCAGTAGTAACAGGGGGTCATCTTAACTCGGGAGGAGGAATGGATGTAACAACATGCAGAGATTACAGAGACAGTTTTGTGTTGTTTTTTTGTCTTATGAAACCGTATTTTGTCAGATTTGTGCTGTTTCTTCTGCAACATCAAACAGAACAACATTTAATAGGATTATCTGTAATTCAGAATATTCAGATACTTCACATGCAGACATTAAAGGGGTCATATGATGTTGCTAAAAAGAACATTATTTTGTGTATTTGGTGTAACGAAATGTGTTTATGCGGTTTAAGGTTCAAAAAACATATTATTTTCCACATACTGTACATTATTGTTTCTCCTCTATGCCCTGCCTTTCTGAAACGCGTCGATTTTTACAAAGCTCATCGGTCTGAAAAGCGAGGTGTGCTCTGATTGGCCAGCTATCCAGTGTGTATAGGATATCGTCCTCTTTTGGAAGACCAAACAAAGTAGTTTTGCTTTCACAACGAAACACACAGGTGCCTTCACGACATGGCGGCAGCAACAATACTACAGCGAGAATAAAAGTTTCTTGCTTTGCGTGAACATTTGGGCGGCGTTATGCAAATCTTCCCACATCGTGACGTAGACATGTGGGGGCGTGTTAGAACGAGCCGTTTTAGGACGGCGTGGTTGACTTAACTTTTATAAAGAATATCTCTTTGTATTTGAGACTTTAATCTTTGCAACTTTACAGATCTTCTTTATGCACCAAGAGCTTGTAACACTTCAAAGAGAAAAGAAAAATTGAAATAGCATCATATGACCCCTTTAAGTCCATGCTGAATTACCTAAAATAGGAGACATGCAGTCTGAGATAACCCTCAAGCAGAGTGGTAATCCACATGCTCAGTCTGTACTGCGTGAGGGTGAGTAACTGAGTGCTGACCCCTGCAGTATGGACAGAGAGAATGCATCTGGTGTTCACTCACCATTTACTGCATAAACTACAATTAACAACATCTGGCAAGTTAAATGTTACTATGTCATTTTTTTCAATTGTGTAGGAATTTGGTTGGCACTTATGTATGTACAGTACTTATGTAGTTAACATTAAAAACCACACGGAAAATCTGTTTCTTTTTTTATGCACGTCACACCTCTGTTCATCAATTTGCACTGGCTACCAGTAGCTGCTCGCATTAAATTCAAGGCATTAATGTTTGCCTACAAAACCACCACTGGCTCTGCACTCATTTACCTAAATTCATTACTTCAGAGTTATGTGCCCTCTAGAAGCTTGCATTCTGCAAGTGAACGGCATATTATTGTGCCATCTCAAAGAGGCTTCTACATTAACTGTTCCCTCCTGGTGGAATGACCTGCCCAACTCAATCCGAGCAGCTGAGTCCTTAACCATCTTCAAGAAACGACTAAAAACACATCTCTTCCATCTTTATTTGACCCTCTAACTCTAGCACTTTCTATTCTATTTTAATTCTACTTTATCTATTTATCTTTTTTTTATTTAAAAAACAAAAAAACTTTGTCTGTAATATATACAGTATATGTACCTTGCTACGTGTACTGCGTTAGGCTAACCGAGACTTGTCATTTGCAGTTATATATTGTTGCTCTTTTGTTAGTTTTGACTGCTTTTATTGTCCTCATTTGTAAGTCGCTTTGGATAAAAGCGTCTGCTAAATGACTAAATGTAAATGTTATAATGTTACAAAAAAGTATATTTCAAATAAATTATTTTCTTTTGAAGTTTTATTCATCAAAGAATCCTGAAAAAGCAATGTATCATAAAATGTATCACGTATCCACAAAAATATTAAGCAGGACAATGTTTTCAGTGTTGATGTTAACAAGAAATGTTTCTTGTTTCTAAATCAGTATATTAGAATGATTTCTAAGACTGGAGTAATGGCCGAAAATGCTGAAAATTCAGCTTTGCCATCACAGGAATAAATTACATTTGAAAATATATTCAAATAGAAAACAGTTACTATAAATTATAATAATATTTCACAATATTACTGTTTTTACAAGCCTTTAATGAAATTCAAGAAAGGATCCCAGGTGCTACTGAAGGTTTTAAGAAAAGGATAAATGTTTTAAATCAGAGTACAAGCATTTTCAGACTATTGGACATCACTGTTTATTGTGAGATTTAGCATTTTATGGTATATTAGTGATACAACAAAAATATTTATTGAGCTTTGGATTTTTAAAGAAATTTTTTCTCCTCTCTTCTAGGGTCGGAACCCTTTCTTTCTGGAGCCATCGGTCATTATTACGATCACCGATGGAAACAAACTGACACACAGCTCTGGGGTGGCTGAGGAGGTGAGGGACAAACACTCTATACCAACAGTTTTTGATCCACTTGTCCATTTATATGATGTAAAATGTTGCGTACTGCAGGTAGTGTGTCTATCTCACTTCTTGTTTTCTCTTCCTCCCTCAGCTACACCTGCCACTGAATTCCCCGTTGCCGGGTAGTGAGCTGACTAAGGAGCCATTCCGCTGGGACCAGCGACTCTTCGCCCTAGTCCTACGGCTGCCAGGAGTGTCCGTGCCCGACAGCGAGCACCTGGGCAGCGTGCCCACTGATGAGTCTGCAATCACCCAGATGTGTGAGGTCACTGGAGGTATAGCAAATCTTAAGTGCCAGTCAATTGCTGTTTAAACCTGTTTATTTCTGATGAGAAAATGCAGGTTAAAATATTTGTCAAGTCAATCTTCCCTCATTTTAATTTCAATTTATGACGCCTGGATTCCATAAAACTGTTCTTTAGATAAGGAAAATGCTACTTGTGTTATGTTGTGTTTTGGAAGATTTCCTCCCATGTGCAGTTTCATAAGCATAGTTTTTTTTTCAGTTGATGATGCAGTTTTGCTGGTTAATCTCAGCTCAGCTAACTCTCTTTTTCTCACCCTCTCTCTATAAGGCCGCTCTTACTGTGTGAGGACGCAAAGGATGCTGAACCAGTGTCTTGAGTCTCTTGTCCAAAAGGTTTTGAGTGGAGTTGTAATACACTTTGAGAAGAGTGGTCCTGATCCACCTGTGATAGGCGAAGGTCAGTGCTGATTATGTGATGTCATACTAGTTTGTGCTTATTGAGAAAACAATTAATGCACAAATATGGTCTTCTCTTTGTGCAGATGGTCTTGTGGATCCAGCTCGTCCTTTGTCGTCCTTCAGTCCGCAGCCCTGGCACAGCTGCCACAAGCTCATATACGTCCGGCCCAACCCCAAGACGGGCGTTCCTGTGGGCCACTGGCCAATCCCAGAATCCTTCTGGCCTGACCAGAACTCCCCCACTTTGGTAAATAATAGCCTACAAAATAGAGTTTGAGTGTAGAGTCAAGCAATGATTTTCTGTTTCTATATTAGTCGGTCCAGACCAGTGTTGTTATAATCAACTATAACTATTAAAAAAACATTTTTGTTACTTGAAATAAAACTGAAATAAAAGAAAATATGAATATTCGATGAAAAACTATATGAAAACCAGAAATATTGTCCAGGCAACTAACTGAAAAAAAAGTTTAAGTAAAAGCACCAAGATTACTAACTGAAATAAAACTAAAACTAAAATAGTTTAGAAATATTTTTTTTAAACAAAAACTAATAAAATTGCTAAAAAGTGTATGAAAATGACTAAAATATTAAACTAAATTAAAACTGAAAATATAAGAATAAAAGCTAGTTCAAAATGAATAAAAATGTGACACTTAATAATAAGGTTCCATTAGCTAACATTGGTTTATGCATTAAATAACATTAACTAACAATGAGCAATACATTGTTACAGAATTTAATCATCCTTGTTAAGATTAGTTAATAAAAATACAGCTATTCATTGTTAGTTCATGTTAGCTAAGGTCCATGAAATAATATTAGCAGATACAACTTTGGATTTTAATAATGTATTAGTAAATGTTGAAATTAACATCAACTTCATGTTAACTAATATATTTAATTAATGTTAACAAATGGAACCTTATTGTAAAGTGTCATATAAAAACTATAATACTAAAAAAAAAAAACTATAAAAACTGTAATAGTATATACATAATACTAAAATATACTTTTTTTTCACATGTTTTGCACTGATTTGGGGGAAATGGTTTTAAACATAGTAAAATGTGTTAAATCTAGCTGAAAACACTATGGAATTGGCTAAAATAATTAATGAGCGAGCCTAGAAGGACTTTTTGTGGTGCTCTGGGTAATAAAAATGTGACACTTAATAATAAGGTTCCATTAGCTAACATTGGTTTATGCATTAAATAACATTAACTAACAATAAGCAATACATTGTTACAGAATTTAATCATCCTTGTTAACATTAGTTAATAAAAATACAGCTATTCATTGTTAGTTCATGTTAGCTAAGGTCCATGAAATAATATTAGCAGATACAACTTTGGATTTTAATAATGTATTAGTAAATGTTGAAATTAACATCAACTTCATGTTAACTAATATATTTAATTAATGTTAACAAATGGAACCTTATTGTAAAGTGTCATATAAAAACTATAATACTAAAAAAAAAAAACTATAAAAACTGTAATAGTATATACATAATACTAAAATATACTTTTTTTTCACATGTTTTGCACTGATTTGGGGGAAATGGTTTTAAACATAGTAAAATGTGTTAAATCTAGCTGAAAACACTATGGAATTGGCTAAAATAATTAATGAGCGAGCCTAGAAGGACTTTTTGTGGTGCTCTGGGACCTGGCGGATGTTCAGCAGTTTCTTTAGTTTCTTTCTGCATGCTGACATTTCACAGAATCCTCAATAAATCAGAAAAGTATTTTAGATAGGTGTATTAGCACTGGCTCACCCAAGCTGAGTAGATGAAGCAATTTATTAGTCAAAGGTAATGACCTCTGCAAACTAAAGGTTAGCTTTCATCTTGCTCAAACAGTGCTAATGAATGTGGATGAAGATAAGGGAGCTGAAAAGAGTGGTAACATGAGGAAAGACTTCACTGTCCTGAGGTTTCCCACCCCCTCACTGTCTATTCTCTCTCTACAATGCACTGTAGAGACTGCAGCTGGTGCTGTGCCAAAGTGCCCCGGCTCAGCTCAGCCTGTGGGCACTGTGAGAGACCCATTGCCAGCAGAATAAGACTGCTGCAGCTCACCAGAGCTTTAGCACTTAGCACTAGCTTAACATGAGGTCATTTCCTTCCTGTCATCTCCGCTGTCTTGTTTGCAATATTGTGAATCAGTAGCACAATAGGTTTGGGTGCAGGTGGTAACACGGGTGCCTCGAAAAATGTCAAAAAGTAAGCTTTTCTGAGGCTCTTTTTCATATTCCTAAAATAAAGTTGATATTTTATTTGTTATAAAACACTTCTTTGGTTTATTTAGTGTTCAGTCAGAGTGTTGTGAGTTTATCTGAATGAACAGCTTGTGTTGTCATGTGCCTGCAACACATGGGCCATTACCCACTGGTGGTGTGAATACAGGATGAATTGGCTATCTAACAGACATATCTTTTGAAAAACCTATTGTGGAGATTGTATTATAGAGGATTTTAGTTTTTTTCTCTCTCTCTCTGTTTAGCCTCCTCGATCTGCCCATCCTGTGGTGCGTTTTTCCTGTATCGATTGTGAGCCGATGGTTATTGACAAGCTGCCTTTCGACAAATATGAGCTGGAGCCGTCCCCGCTCACCCAGTTTATCTTGGAGAGGAAATCTCCTCACATGTGCTGGCAGGTGGGACACCTTTTCACACAACTATTTCATCTGATCTGTATTTAGCATGCCATCTTTCACAGTCCGCAGACTGCTGTCTGGGTAGAGCCGAGTTTCACAGTGATCGATATCATGGTGTTAAAAGAGCAGAAAGAAACAGTGGGTGTTTCGTTTTTCCGTATTTTCCATATTTGTATTTACTGGAATGCAAAAAAGCACAACACTAAATACATGTCAATTCAGTTGAATGGCTTACACATTTACACATGATGGTTGTAAAAGTCCTGTATTTAGTAACTGGTCAAGCAGCAGCTTTTTTTATTCAAACACAGTGTTGTACAATACTGTTTAAAAGTTTGGTGTCAGTAAGATTATTTATGTAAAGAAATTAATACTTTTATTCAGCAAGGATGGATTAAATTGAACAAAAGTGACAGTAAATGCAATTATAATGTTATATAAAATTTCTGTTTTAAATAATTGCTGTTGTTTTTTTAAACTTTCTAATCATCAAAGAATCCTGAAAAAAATGATCTCAGTTATTCAGAAAAATATTAAGCAGAACAAGAGTTAACATTGATAACAATAATAATAAAAATAAATGTTTCTTAAGCAGAAGAGATGTCTTTATAATACATTAAAAAAATCTCACAGACCCCAAACTTTTGAATGACCCGAATTATTTGTCACCCAACCTTTGTAGTATTTTGTGACATAAAATGGCACACATTGTACAACAATTTCCTCCCTGATGTCCGTCCATTAATGCAGAGTTTGTGCAGGGTTTCTTACAGTATTTCAGTCAGCAGATGCTTATCTAAAGTGACTTACACTTGAGGAAACTTGATCATAGTGGAGCAAATGATTTTATCAGTGCTACAGTATGAGAGTAGTCCAAAATACAGAGCAGCGTAAAGTGCAATACAGTAGAATTAAACCAGGTTTTAAACAAGTGCCCTAATATACAGTTATGACTACTTGCCTAAAAGCTCTCAGTCATGACGATTGGGAACAGATTTGTAGGAAGGTGCTGATTCAAAGGCAGTTCAGAGTGCAAACATTAGATTTAGCATAAAATGAGTGAAATAAATCCCATAGATCTGCATTAAACGAGGGAACTGAGTCTTATTTTTGGAACCAGAATGTGCAGTAATTTAGGGGTGGACTCTTTTGGCTTGCACCAATTAACAACCACCTATTAATCCCATAGCAACCGCACTAAAAACACTCAGAACACCTTAGCAACTGCATAGCAACATCCTTGGATCATGGCTAGTATTACAAGCAAGCACCACTGAGATTTTCTTCAGAAAATCTAAAAACAAGTTAAAGAGGGTTGACAATACTGCAGTAAGATTAAAGGATTTTTTCCCATGCTTATTCCATTGGATATATATAAATATACACATGCTATAAATACCTTAGTCAATTCCTGGAAATGTTTTTTGCAACATTCTTTTGATTTGTTTTTCCTACTCGCATCATACATTTAAGCTCATCTAAAAATACCAATATAATTAAACGTTTGTGTTTGTTCTTTAGCCATGGTTACAATGTTACATGATTACTTGCCTCACTAGGGATCATATAATGAAAAGAAGGTAAATGGTAGATAAATTACAAAGAGCTCATCCATTTATAAGCATATTTAGAGGCATTAATATGCTCTAATAGGCACCTAATGAGCCGTTAATGAATGGGTTTTGTCTCTGAGAAACAGTTATAGCACACTAGTCTCTGAGGAACCCTGTCACCTAATGAGCCGTTAATGAATGGGTTTTGTCTCTGAGAAACAGTTTGATGTGAGAGCCGAGCTCTCAGGAGACACCAGACAATGCTAACTCCTCTCCCCTGTCGCCCAGGTGTTTGTGAACTGCAGCGGCAAACACAGCGATGGAGCCCACCCGTTCGGCTACCTGAAGGCCAGCACTACGCTCACCTGTGTCAACCTCTTCGTCATGCCTTACAACTATCCCGTCCTGTTGCCACTCCTCGGTACGTGTGTTTCCTGACAACACATTTACAAACTTATCCTATAAATTACCTTATTTAGAGAATTGCAAGTTTTTTCTATTGCACATTTCATACACAGTGATGCTTTGTTTAGCCATTTTAAAATGTAACTAAAAAAACAGATTAAAATGAATAAAAATGAATGCATACAATTATATATATATTTATATACATAAACATATATACATAATCAAAATAGAAATATTTTCTAAAAATATACAATACAGTTCAAAAGTTTGGGGTCACTTTTTTTCTTTATTTTTTTAGAAATTAAATTAATACTTTTATTCAGCAAGAGTGTGTTAAATTGATAAAAGTGATAAAGACTTAGATTGTTAGAAAATATTTTTATTTTGAATAAATGCTGTTCTTTTTAACTTTTAACTTTTTATTCATCAAAGAATCCTGAAAAAAGTATCACATGTTCCAAAAAAAAAAAAATGTTTTTTTAACAGCACACCTGTTTCCAACATAACTGATAATAAATCAACATATTAGAATGATTTCTGAAGGATCATGTGACACTGAAGACTGGAGTAATGATGCTGAAAATTCAGGTTTGCATCACAGAAATAATATTTTAAAGTATATTAAAATAGAAAACCATTATTTTAACTTATAATAATATTTCACAATATTACAGTTTTTTCTGTATTTTTGATCTAATAAATACAGCCTTGATGAGCAGAAGAGACGTCTTTAAAAAAAAAATTAAAAAAAATCTTACTGATCCGAAACTTTTGAACGGCACACACAAAGGAATAAAAGAATAACAATTAAAAAGATTTATAATTGGAATTTAAAAAACTGATTAAAATAATTACAAATGTACTGAAAAGAACACGTAAAAATTCTACAAAATAAAAACTTTTATGTAATGCAGTAACATTTATACTTTTTTTTTTGGACATTGCTGCATAAATTGTGTACACGTTTTGTACATCTCTCATTTCCTCCTTTTGGAAAATGACTTAAAGGAAGCGATTTAGTGCTGCAATGTAGCATCTTCAGCACACTTACCATCTCTTATTCTCCTTACAGATGATTTGTTTAAAGTGCACAAGCTAAAGCCAAACCTCAAGTGGCGGCAGGCCTTTGAAATGTACCTGAAGTCCATGCCTCCTTACTTTCTCTTGGTGAGACACTATTCATTCCTACTTAAAAAAGACATCCCAGTAGAGCACAGAAGTGTCCTGCTTACAAAAAGTAAATGAATGCAATATACAATTCATGAACTCTTAGATGCACTCAAGGATCTCTTGTAATCCAACCCCTCTTATGAGCTTTATTTGTTCTATAGTCTGTTAACAGCTGTAATGAGGTCAAGGATATGTGTTCTGAGTGCAGATTCACCCTGAGTGTGTCCTCATTTTCACTTCCTTTGTCTCTATTTCTCCACTCTTCCTCTCTTTTTTCTGACTGCAGCCTATCAAGAAGGCGCTGAGGATGATGGGAGCCCCAAATCTCATCTCTGACAACATGGACTGTGGCTTGAGCTACAGTGTCATTTCCTACCTAAAAAAACTCAGCCAGCAGGTGAGCACGATTTAGCTGCTGAAAGTTAAACCTGCACAGTTTTTGCAAGTTAAAATAGTATTCAAACTCATAACATTCCTTTAAATGTTCTAGATTACATATTAACATATTGTATTAATTCCGTATTAAATCCAATCTGTATGAGGCCTGAGTGATGCAGCTTTTTAAATCAACTTGTACTTGATTCCCAAGGCAAAGATTGAGTCAGACCGTCTGATTGTGTCTGTCGGGAAGAAGCTTCCTCAAGAGACGGGCATCAAGGTTAAGAACCACTCGAATGCCCTGTCTCTGGCACACCGCCGTGATTTCAAGCAGCTCCTGCAGGGCATCACAGGCGAGGTTCCCCTCCGACTCATCGACATGAACTTTAAAGAGTTCGCTGGTTTCCAGATTGCACTTCTCAACAAGGTACAGACAGTTTGAGTGGGGCTGAATTACATTATAGAGTCTATTTGAAATCAGTCATGTCTCCGTTCACGTTTGGGGGTCAGAATGTAGTTACATTTGACTCTTTTAAATCATATTTTCTTGCTGATGTGGGTTAATTCTGATGAATCCTTCTGACTAGACATCTAAGTCTGATTTAAACATATGCGATTTTCTTTACGTTAGATAAAAATGTAACTTCTATTATCATTTACTCACTTTTTCTTAAAGGATTTGAAGCCGCAGGCCTATAGGAACGCTTATGATATTCCACGACGGAACCTTGTAGATCAAGTGACTCGGATGCGTTTCAACCTTCTGAGGACAACACAGAAGCTAATCAGAGGCCAGGATGATGGTAATTGTACCAAAGACAAAAATGACATTTTGCAAAGTGAACCTTCATAACTGTTCAAATCTGCCAAACATGACTTAAGATGCAGCCACATAAGCAAAACTTCAGCTAATTTTTGCAGGCAAAAAGAGCTGTCTATTGTCAATTGTATAGATGTATAAAGCATAGCTCAAACAGAAGTCACTTTAAAACCTCAAAAATTGAACCCACAGTGAAATTTGCATGGGGAAATCGTTTAACCTCGCACAAAATTCATGGTCGATTTCTATTTAAATGACAGGATTTCACCCGCAAAAAAGGTAAATGTGATCACACCTTTACACTATATAGGTTAGCTTTTTTGATGACACAGAAAGTAACCCGTTTTGTTTTGTTTTTTACAATGGCCATATGCATTTAGCCAAAGACTATAGAATACCCAAGACGTGTCACTCGTATAGTTTTGAATGGGGAAAAATGCAACGCTCAATATGGCCGCTCAATCGCAGGAAGCCCCGCCTACTGAATGAAAGAGCCAATCCCTAATCGGTAAAGTCAGCGTGTCACTGCAGCTGCAGTTAGAAGTCCTGCTGCTATAGAAACAGTCAGCGTTCTGAGACGTGCTCTTAGGACTGCGCATGCGCACTGGCTGATCTAGCCTGAAAAATAAGCTTTTTGTAACGCTATTTGAGCAAAAGTAACAACATGTATGACAGTTGTTGTCAGATTTCTTTGGTGATTTCAAATATGAAATTTAATTGTAAGCTTAGTGAACAGTTTTGGAGAATTTAATGTTTCCCCGTTCAAAGAGATAGACCCTGCGTTCCATTCGGAAGGGCTCATCCCTATGCCCTAATCCCTCCATCAGTTGTACCCTTCGAAATCCTTCATTCCGAAGGGCCCTTTGAAGTGGCCAGTTTTGAGCACTTCGGTTTGGAACGACCCTTCAATATGGCGGCCATTATTGTTTTCACTCCGAAGTGCCCTTCAGAGGGCGATATGTCCCGTTTGGAACGCACCGAGAAGCTGCACTTGCATGCCCGAGAGGCATTTCAAAGATGGCCGCCTAGTGACATGACTTGTCTTAAAAGGACTTTGATTTAGCATAGCAACAAGAGAAACTGTTTTATTTTCATAGATTTACATTTCTAATGTTGACATGTCATCAAAAATGTTCATGAATGGACACCTGATATTTGTTTATTATTGAATATTTTTCCATGATTCTGTAGACTCCTTGCACAGTATTCCAGTGGGGCAGATGGGAAATTATCAGGAGTATTTGAAGATGATGCCATCACCTCTACGTGAGATTGATCCAGACCAGCCCAAACGACTGCACACATTTGGCAACCCATTCAAGCAGGACAAGAAGGTGCTTGCATGTCAAACCTATGGTCCTATGGCATTTCTAGTGCATATTATAGCACTATACTTTGTATTATACTATTTTGGCATTACATTTAAAAAAGCTAGTTGCTGCTGTGTGGGTGTTTCTAGTACAACGGCGGAGGGAGTGTTGGCAAATTTGACATCTTCCTCTTTTCTGACCATCGTAATCAAGCTCTTGATATTTTTGTCTCTTTTGGAAAGTCATAGAAATGCTATCATGAATGTTTTCTTTTGCTGTTAGAGCAAATGGGAATGGTTTTCCCCCCCCCACAAATTTCACCACTATAGAAGTTCACCCAGCTACGACCACTTCTGCTTCTGAGAACCTCGGAAATGTGAAAAGGGTCCACTGATAATAAAAATTACAAGTCAAAACCGAAGTGCCTTAGATGCTAAGTTGTTTTGTTTTCCCTCTTCTCCCAACAACAGGGAATGATGATCGATGAAGCAGATGAGTTTGTGACAGGCATGCAAAATAAGAAGCGGGGTAACACTGGGGATCTTAACTCAGGCACTGCCCTGAAGAGGAGGAGGAGTATGTCCCCTCTGCTGCGCCGGCCCCAAACTCTTCCAATAATAACCAATCATGTCCTGGGCAAGGGCCCTACAGGGACTCAGGGCCAGCAAGGAATCATCAAACCCATCCCACTACACAAAGGTAAAGTCCTCTGAGTCACGGCTGACTGATTCTTAGCTTGCTGTGTACTAAATACTTACATACTGCATACTGCCTACTATTTTTTTTAAATTGCAAGAGTAGGCATTAATCCATGCTTTCAAACTGTATGTAATATAGGGTTAGGATTAGCATTTGGTTTAGGGTTACTTGTGTGTAATTATGCATAATTTACTGTTATTACTATAATAAGTACATGTCATATGTAACAATGACACTGTGAAGTGTTGCCAAATGTGGTTTTCCATTTGTAATTCAATTTTCAGTCTGATTAAATAATTAGTATTATAGTATCAAATATCACACCTGTAATTTCTTCTTGTCAAGTACATTATATTAATTAGTAATTATATATATATAATTAATTTCTTTGATGGAAAGCTGAATTTTCAGCATCATTACTCCAGTCTTCAGTGTCACATGATCCTTCAGAAATCATTCTAATATGCTGATTTGACACTCAAGAAATACATCTTTGATGAATAGAACATTCAAAAGAACAGCATTTACTTGAAATAGAACTCCCTTGAGTCATTATAAATGTCTTTACTGCCACTTTTGATCAATTTAATGCATTCTTCCTCAATGAAAGTATTAATTTCTTTCAAAAAACCTTACTGACCCCAAACTTTTGAATGAATGGTAGTTTATATACTATATACTGCAGAAATCATACGAGTAGTATGGTATTCCAAACAGTCTTGCAAACATTGCATAAGAGTATGTTGAAAAACTTACCATAAATATAAATAATAATATGCCATCATATATTTTCCCCTACAGGAGCTGAGGGAAACAGTGTAGGAGGCACAGAAAGCAACGGTGAGCGAGCGCCAGGCGAGGAGGCTGAAGACGGGTGGCCTGGAGGAGTGGATGGAGAGGGAGGAGGACCTGCGCCTGTGGAGGACAGAGGAGAGGTGGGGACACCAGATGGCGAGGAGGAGAGAATAGGACTGGAGAACTGTCTGGATGAGAGACCCTCTGATCTCACACAAAACTGTGAGGACCTGAGTCCCCCGAGCCAGGAGGGGGCGGAGGAGGGCAATGGAGGAGACACTCCAGCACAGGGCACAATTGTTATGATTCCCCTGGAGGGGAGTAACGCGGAGCTGCGCACTCGAGTCCTCAAAGAAGTCCGCAAGCCTGGCCGCAGTGAGTATCTGGATATAATACCAAATTAATTATTCATGCAATTCATTTCTGTATTCTCTTTGAACTATTCTCTAGCTTAAATCAAGTGCACTTGCACTATGAAAGAGGGTATATATTTGTAGGAATTAATAAAGCTAAACTGAATTGCTTATTCTTTTGTGCAGATTATGAGGCAATATTCAGGTTACTGGAGGAGGTGAAGGGGCCAGTGACAGTGCAGAGATACTTTATTCATCATGCCATCAAAGAGGCAGCCAGGTGAGAGCTCTCTTCAAACACTCACATGCCTTTCTCCTCTCACCAATGACACAGGTTTCCTAAACACTTCCTCAGCCATCGGTCAAGCAAACAGACAAACAGATCGTTCCCCCACCGGTCTCTAACGAGTATATTTCTACATGTCCCCTGCAGTGTTGTTTTAGTATTATTTATAAAATATTATAGTATTTATTAATATATTTTTTTATGTTTTCAGTTTTCATTTTAATTGTAGTTTATGTTTTAGTTATTTGCGCTACGTGCTTTTCAGCTTCCATTTTAATTTTAGTAATTTTATTGTGCTTCTTTTTTATTGTTATATATATCGTTTTTATTTCACTTTCAGTTTCAGTCATTTTTGTACTTCAACTTCAACTTGTTTTATTTCAGTTAGTAGCCAAGGCAACATTTGTAATTTTCATTTAAGTTTTCTAAGTTAAAGCTTAAAGGTATAGTTCACCCTAATTTGAAAATTCTGTCATCGTTTACTCACCCTCATGTCGTTCCAAACCCATACGATTTTGGTTAATTATTGAAACACAAATTAAGATATTGTTAATGAAACTTGAGAGGTTTCTGACCCTCCATTGAAAGGCCAGGTAACCAAAACTTAGAAGATCCGAAAAAGGTCATAAAGGTGTCATAAAACCTACCCATATGAATCAAGCAGTTTAATCCAAGTCTTGTGGAAAGATGTGATCACTTTAAATGATGAACAGATTTCCTTTAGTCTTCAGAGTGAGTAAATGATGACAGAATTCACATTTTTGGGTGAACTAAGTTTTGCATCTAATATTTATATCTTTTTTTTTCAGCTTTATTTCAATGTTTTAGTTTCTTGTTTTAGTTTTAATTTACAATAACAACACTGGTCACCTGCTTCTTCATGTTCACGTTCCCCATCTTTCCTCTACTTTCTGACTGCATTATAAAATCAACCCCACAAAAATTCAATTCAAAGATTAATGTACCAAAATTCACTGCATCATAAAATTTCACAGAATTCTCGCCAAAGTTAGTGCAGAAGCTCACTGATAGACTGCAAAAAAAATTATTCTTAATCAGTAATTTTGTCTTGTATACGTACCTAAATATTCTTAAAACGAAATAAATTTACTTTAGAAGCAAACTTGCATAAAAAGTATTTTAAAGAATATACTAAATGTTGTTATATTCATGCTTCAAAGAAACATTGTCAATAGAGAAAGAAAAAGACATATTCTCTGAAAGCTGGTAATATGTTTTTCTATTTTGTTTCTCAAAGTTACTTGTTGTTAGTATGTAAAATATGTTTATGTTTTTATATATTATATAATAACATACTGTATATTATATAATATAATGTCACGTAATCCAGCTAAATAGCTGTCTCTCTCTCTCAGGTTTAAGAAGCGTGTGCTGATCCAGCAGCTGGAGAGCGCTCTGCAGGAGATTGAAGACAGACAATGTTTAAGACATATTCTCTGAAAGCTGGTAATATGTTTTTCTATTTTGTTTCTCAAAGTTACTTGTTGTTAGTATGTAAAATATGTTTATGTTTTTATATATTATATAATAACATATACTGTATATTATATAATATAATGTCACGTAATCCAGCTAAATAGCTGTCTCTCTCTCTCAGGTTTAAGAAGCGTGTGCTGATCCAGCAGCTGGAGAGCGCTCTGCAGGAGATTGAAGACAGACAGATGCTGCCCACACAACTCAACAACGTCCACAGCAGATAGTAAAACGTCACATCTCACGGCTGAGACATACGAGACGACAGAGAAGAAGCAGCGCAGGCCAACTGAGCACACGGGCCGACCCATCAGCCTCAGTACTGTGCTCTATGAGAAGATTTAGCGAAGGAGAGAGTAAATTAGGGAGGATGGAGGCCTGTCTCGCTCACGCACTCTCCGGTCCAGGCGCTTCCAGTTACTGAATTGTGTCACAACTCTGAAAGAGTGCTCACAATGAGAGAGGCGCTCCAGGGTTGACAGGGGTTTTCTGTCAATTTGCAGGCTTTCTGGGCCTGATAATGACCGTAATTTAACCATAAAATAATGAATGATGAATAAGCACACTCCAGAAAAGCCAAGCCTCAGCCACTGTGTGATTTTACAGGGTCATCCGAGGCAGAGGTCAGCATCTGTCACGTGAATTATGTTTATATATTATGTCTGTCCACTGTTATTTGGCATCAATGGAAAGTTCAGAGTTTATAATAGTATGGAAAATCTATGATGGATTTGTGTTTGCATGAAATGCCCACAAGTAATGGGGTTAACAACATAGTTGGACCTTCTTAAGTAATAACAATAACCCTACAATCTTAAGTACGGCAAGCTCAATTTTACTCCTTAATTGTGGAAACCACGTTTTTACAGTTAATGCAGATTTTCCCCAATGACTTTGGAGATTCAGTATGAGATCTGATAGCTGGCCTGTTGTTATATTCGTGGTGATATGTAATGTCACATAGATTAGCATCATTCAGTGTCCTATAAGCAATAGTGTCCAATGAAACATGCTTGGCTCATCACACAAATGGGAAATGCCAGCTATGGTGTGAAATGAACTGGTCCACAGCAGAGTTTAGATTCTGTCCAGCATGACATCTTTCGTCATCCTGCGCTTGGTTTCATTGCACAGACACAACTTACATTAGTGACCCCATTCTTGTATGTTTTGTTCATTTTTAAAAACAGATGTATACTACTTTTTAATGTTCATAAATAATATAGATTATTTTTGGATGGTATTGCTACAAGAGCATAAAAATATTTTAAGAATTGTATAAAACATTTTGTAAACTGATATTATATAGACAAAGTTTTATGATTTTTTTAATGAAAACAATAAAAAATACAAAGAAACTGTGTGCATCGTGTAATTTTATATATAATTTGTACATAATTTTATGTAATGTGCGGTCAATAAGATTTTTTGAATGAATATTTAAATGCAAGAATGCATTTAAGTGACAGTAAACACGTTTGCAAAAGATTTCTATTTCAAATAAATGCTGATATTTTGAACTTTCTATTCATCAAAGAATCCTGAAGTAAAATGAATCATGCTTGCCAATATTATATTAAGCAGCCCAACTGTTTTCAACACTGTTAATATGATATCTTTGTTGAGCACCAGATCAGCATATTAGAATGATTTCTGAAGAATCATGTGACACTGGAGTAATGGCTGCTTAAATTAATACATTTTAAAATAGTAAATTGTATTAATATTTCACAATATTACAGTATTTTTGATACAGTATAGGGTATGAGACTTTAAAAAAATACTCACCCCCAAACTTTTGAAAGGTAGTGTATGTATATTGTATAAAGCTGTCTTTAATGTGGATATTTTGCACAGAACACCCTTAAGTGTTTGAAATGAACTGTGCTTTGGTTGAAGTATAGGTGATCTGCGTACAAGATTTTTTGATTTTATACTGTTTTTTTTTCTTTGCTTTATCTTTCAAGTCTATAGGCTTATTCTTAAAATCCCAAACACTCACTGTTCTCACTCCAAACTTGAAATGGGCTGGTTTCCATCTCGTCATATTTTTGCAATGTTCCTTTGCTTTATCTTTCAAGTCTATAGGCTTATTCTTAAAATCCCAAACACTCACTGTTCTCACTCCAATCTTGAAATGGGCTGGTTTCCATCTCGTCATATTTTTGCAATGTTCTGCATTTGGTTACCTTGTCTCTTCTAACACCTGTATCTCTCACGTTATTAATAGACCCGATTGTCTATTATGGGATCTTGCACCACATGTTGCGGTTTCCTGAACTTACTCATTTTCCCATCACAATAGATAATGTAATCTAGTACAGGGATAGGCAACATCGGTCCTGGAGTGCCGCTGTCCTACAACCCTGAAAAAAAACTCACCTGCCTGTAGCCTTTTTAGTAATCCTGAAGACATTGATTAGCTTGTTCAGGTGTGTTTGATTAGGGTTGGAGCTAAACACTGCAGGACCGACATTGCCTATCCCTGATCTAGGATATACCACATAATAAAAATGCTATTTTTTATCAGCCTCACAATGACATTACAATGTTATAACATTGCACAGTGAATCAGCCATTGCAAATCAAAACTAACAAGCATTTATGGTGCACACTGGGACATTTTGCCATAACTACAACTCTAAATACAGCTGTAGAAATGATCAAACCTTTGACCAATTATAGATAACAGCCTAAAATGTTAGCCTAGCTAAGACTTTCAACCTCGGTGTTTGACTCATGTTAATATCAAAGTAAAACTACAGCAATGCAACTACTCTAAAGTCATACCGACAACAAACAAGCATTATCCCACAAAATATGGAAAGGAAATATGATCTCCATGTTTAAAACAATGTCACACAAGCTGCAATTAATACCAGAAGAACAGACTAAACAGTTCTGGGATAAGGGGGTTGCCATTGCTGGTACTTAGCAGGTCTCCTCTAGCACAAAAAAAAAAAAAAGGTGGCTTAGTGAAGGATTAGTATAATTACAGGCTTAAACTGGACCATTTCAACTGGCCATTCTCTACTTACACAGAAAATAATGGATAACCAGGTTGATTTACCACAACCATACATGTCCATGAATGCTCCAGATCCACACATAAAACTGTTTATAGCACAAAATAAAAACTTTTTAGTGGGTTAGCAGGTCTTCAGATATCATAATAGACTGTAACTACAAAATAAAGAAGCAAAACAAAATCTGGATTTCATCCAAATTGCAAATTCACCAAGAAAATTTCAGCTTTTATTAAGGTAAAAATAAGGAGTTGTGTCTCAACATGAAATAAATCAGAAAACATTGCCCCCCCCCCCTCCCTCCTCAAAAAACAAAATGTACCATTCATGCCCACTGAGTGTTCACAGTATTGTTAGAATTGCAATTATTCTACAATCTATTGTGGCCTTGCTCAGACATGTTTTAATCACTTTCAGTATTATGAGCTCAAATTTGAAGTTCAGTAATCAAAGCTTCCGCTTCTGAACACCAATACAATTTATGGTCCATAATATTGACCTTAATTCAGACGGGGACAGGGAAGAACCGGTTGCAGTTAGGGTCAGTTCAGCCAAAAAAAGTGGCAAACCGACAATGTACATGGTAGGATTCGTGCCCTGTGTATGACAGCCAAGCAGAGGGCTACAGCCGTAACCTACAGACTTAAGACTCCCAAGCAATAAGTATTTACAAACATATCAGCTGGAAAAGGAGTTGGCACAGTCCATTGACAAAATAGTAACCACAATAGATGCATGTTTGTACAGCATATTCACATATACATAGACGGGAAAATATGCTTATTTTCACTTTCAACCTAGGAGCTAACAAATTAATTTAAGAAATAAAAAAAAAAAAAAAAAGAAGAAACCGAGCAAGGCAGCCTACTGAAGGCAAGTCTCAATGATAATTTTCCAGCTTGCGTAACCGCAGGGGATTGGAAGGCAAGGCCTGGGCGCTGGGAGTGGAGGGCTCTTGCTCTGGTGGGCAGAAGAGTACTCGGCCTCGGTGATTGAACAGGTAGAAAGACGGGTGATTTCTCAATGTGTCAAATGTCCTGTTAAGAGCAAAAGAGACAAGACAGCTTATAATGTATCATCTTAAGACTCCCAAGCAATAAGTATTTACAAACATATCAGCTGGAAAAGGAGTTGGCACAGTCCATTGACAAAATAGTAACCACAATAGATGCATGTTTGTACAGCATATTCACATATACATAGACGGGAAAATATGCTTATTTTCACTTTCAACCTAGGAGCTAACAAATTAATTTAAGAAATAAAAGCAGCCTACTGAAGGCAAGTCTCAATGATAATTTTCCAGCTTGCGTAACCGCAGGGGATTGGAAGGCAAGGCCTGGGCGCTGGGAGTGGAGGGCTCTTGCTCTGGTGGGCAGAAGAGTACTCGGCCTCGGTGATTGAACAGGTAGAAAGACGGGTGATTTCTCAATGTGTCAAATGTCCTGTTAAGAGCAAAAGAGACAAGACAGCTTATAATGTATCATCAGGAACAGCATATTTCTGATACAGCCTGGTGTTAGTTTATGATCTCAGAAAAACACATCTGCGTGTGCTTACTTGTTTTTGAGCTCTGAAGAAGCATCCATGTCTTTGAATTCGCCTGAGATGTGAACTATGCCGTAACATGTGATCACAAACGACAACAAAGTCTGTAACACTATCTGAAAACAACACAAGAGAAGCTGTATTGAGGAAAACAACAAATGCATGTGATTCAATGTGATCAGTGTCTTGTAGCTGATTGCAACTTACATCTATAGGTAATGTTTCATTCTCTTTTTCGGTCAGTCTCATGTAGGATCGGTCTGGAAAAAGAAAAGAAAATCTCTTTTTTTTTTTAGGATGTGTGAGAAGCATTAAATCAGGGGTGCCCAAACTCGGTCCTGGAGGGTCGGTGTCCTGCAGAGTTTAGCTCCAGCTTGCCTCAACACACCTGCCTTTAAGTTTCTAGTATGCCTAGTAAGAGCTTGATTAGCTGCTTCAGGTGTGTTTGATTAGGGTTGGAGCTAAACTCTTCAGGACATCGGCCCTCCAGGACCGAGTATGGACAGCCCTGCATTAAATCATTCAATCTAAACAAAAGTGTATAATTGATTTTGCAGCAACAGCACTTTAAATGCAAACAGGGTAACACTTCATTTTAAAGTGCCCTAGTTACATTTACTATAGTAATATCAGTAAATTATGCATTATTTCACACACTAATAACCTTAACATTATAGCAAGTACATGTAGTTAATTCATATAGCGTGCACACGCACAAAAAAACACAATATAACCAACCATCCATCCACATTAAACGTTTTTAAAAGTTCACAGCCTCTTGACATTTGCATGTTCGCTCAGGTTTCTAATTCTATATGCTTGGCATATAATTCAAAGCTGATTGTACATGCAAAAATGTCACTACTGCTAATCGTTTGCATCTTTTCATGGGAAGCCCGAGTTGTTTCTGTGAATCGGTTCTTTCGAACAATTAGTCTCAAAGATATTTATATATATATTATAAATAATTACGCTACCTAGCTTTGCATTATATTTCAAGCTTATAGAATTAGAAACTTAAGCAAACATGCAGATGTCACGATTTTTGGTCTTTGACATCCCAGCCACATTAGGCACATATTGCTTTTTAGCATGATTTTTGATTATGTTTTATTATTTAAGGGTTTTATTGTAATTTCATGTGTCACACTTCAGTTAATGAAGCAATGATTCAATTCATCCAAAAAAATAAATTTGGTTAAAGCCTCAATTTGGCTTGGCTTTGCTTACCACATTATTAAATTAATTGCAAAACAAAGAGGATGAAGTTTTGTAGAATAATATTTTGCTTAGCGGTAAGTTGTATTTACACAAATGTAAATTTGTTAAAGTTGCTCAATTTTGTTGCATTTAAAAATTATTTGGAAAGTCCTTAAAGCAGCTGAAAAAGGAATGACTTGAAATTACTTGCTGCTGCTGCTTATTATTATTATTATTATGATTAATAAATTCCTTTTAAGTTTAATTTGTTAAAATTTGCTTTTATTTTGATATATATATATATATATATATATATATATGCAAAATACAATAAAGATATATTTAATAAGATATATTATTATGAACTACAAATAATTACTTAATTTTAAAATATATTTTTAATGTATTTTGAGTGGATTTATTGTGCTTAATGATAATGCCTGTTTGTTATTTGAAAAGATTTAATAAAGGTTTTTAATAAATGAATTCGTTCATTACGAGTCAGTA